AACCACTATTGATATAATGATTTCAACAGTGCTCGTATTTCAATAGTGGTTACCAACTATGTTTGCTATTGAAATGCACTCTCAACCACTATTGAAATAATTATTTCAATAGTGGTCGTATTTCAATAGTGGTTACCAACTATGTTTGCTATTGAAATGCACTCTCAACCACTATTGATATAATTATTTCAATAGTTGTCGTATTTCAATAGTGGTTACTAACTACTAGTATGTTTGCTATTGAAATGCACTCTCAACCACTATTGATATAATTATTTCAATAGTGGTCGTTATTTCAATAGTGGTTGCAACACCGCTCTGTAAGCTAATTCCCCCTCATTCGTAATCCTCTAATATCTTTTACATTTATATCGGTGCAATAAATCAGTTAAAAGGTATGCGTCTCGGTAATTAGTCCTTGTCTTAGGGAACTGGAATCTAACTAATTCCTTCAATAATGTACAATAAGTGTATAATATCATATACGATAAAAAAAAAATATGGACACACGTACCGCCTTGTCGTTACCTAGTGCTAAAAGTAACGTTCAGTAACATAAGCCTCTACGATCTCGATCAGCTATTTCACAAACTGATACTGTGTATGTAAGCAAAGCCTTTCAAAATTACCTTCTCTGGTTTTTCCGACAAGATTGGACGGTTCAGGTATGACAACCTCATTTCCAACACTGAAATAATTATTGTAAGGAACCCTTTATCTTTGAAATCTGGAGCTTAATATAATTAAATGTTACACTACGGTATCACCAAAAATATATAACAGTAAAAAAAAACACTTTAATTTATTACTCAATGTTTTGCAATTTTTTGTAAACTTTCTCCACTTAGCTCTACTCAACGAAGATGGGGGAGATTGTATGATAACCTCATTGTCGATGTCTTTAAGGCAGATTTCTTTTCAGGTTATCGTTTACTCATCATTAATCAAAGATGCATGGAAAATGCTTCTGTTATGTTTCATGGTGGCAATCTAGATTTCAGATGTTGTAATTTCAGCAAAAGAGTAACCAGGTTACATGTAATGTATTGAAGCCCTGAAACCGGTTAATGTAGATCTAATTTCGACGTAACTTTAAACTCTGCATTGAACATATACTTTCATGAATGATTCAATTAAGTACACTTTCGACTTTTTTTTTTTTTTTTTTTTTGTTTGTTTTTTTTTTTTTGAATGCCGAACCTTACCTACGTATCAGTGATGAGGTTTATGGTTTTCGAGCAAGTTCATTATAAAGTAATTACAAAGTAATTATAAGTCTAATGTTGATTAAACTTGCAAGGATAATACATGTACATTTAAGGATGCACATTGATCTCACCATGATTTCATTAACACGAATACCTATTTCGACCTTTATTATCTATACTTCGGACCGGTCACGGTAGCTTAGTGGTAGAGCGTTCGCTTCGTGATCGGGAGGCCCGGGTTCGATTCTCGATCGCGGCGCCGCGTCATACCTAAAACTTAAACATAGGTAGTGACTGTTCCTTCGCCAAGCGCTCGGCACTAGAAGTGAAAGTCACGGGTCTTTCGGATATGACGTTAAAAACGTAGGTCCCGTGTCACGGTAGGCGTTGGCACGATAAAGAACCCTCACTGCTCAATGGCCCTGAGTGCCGAGTAAAGGTCAAATTTGAAGCCCTTCACCGGCATCGGTGACGTCTCCATATAAGTGAAAAATTCTCAAGAGGGACGTTAAACAATATACAGTCAATCAATCAATCTATACTTCGGCAAAACATCTTATTATTTACACTAAAAGACGCGTTTTTTGATATGACCTCAATCTTCGGATGTGTGGTTTAATTTTCGGATGATTGATCGTCTCCCGCGAGGCGCAGTGGTTAAAGTGTCTGCTCTAGAGTCGCGAAGTAAGGAGTTGATCCTTACGTCGCAGGTTCGAATTCCATTGTGGGATGTGAAAACCGGTCCATCTGATGAGACAGTATAAACCGAAAACCCGTATCGCAGTAGGTGCTCGGATGAAAAAGGACCCTCACTGCTCAATGATCCTGAGTACCGAGTACTGGACAAAATTTACAGCTCTCCACCGGCAAGTGGTGGCGTCTCCACATGAGTGAAGAATTCTCGGGAGAGAGACGTCAAAATATTCAATCAATCGGATGAATGACCAGATTAAAGTTTTGTTGAAATCTCCTTTCCAAGTAACTTTAAGTCGTACATGTACATTGACTTTATTTGCATGAGAGAATAATTTCAGAATGGCAATACTAAAGTTTCTTTCATATGCTTGATCTACCAAATGAGTTCCTAGAAGCAAGTTCATTCTTATTTAGCCATTAACCTTACCGGAACCAAACTTGTATGGAAGATATTTCGAAGTACGCACACTACTGTACTTTCTGTACAGTGATGCTAAATTTGACCAATCCTCTATTTTCAAGATGAGTACTTCGGTGAAAGTTGTTCAATCAGATCCTATACGCCCTTTCCTAAAAGATTTTCACTGTTAATACTTTAATTGATACACTCTACCAGGGTTTCCTAATAGCTTGATTATACCTATATTTTCAACAACAAAAAAACAGGTTAATGTTAAGCAGGTCCATTCCCAAGATGATATAAAGACCTACCTGGATCAATCTTTCATGCCTGATCCATCTTGGGATAAACACTTCCAGACTTGCTTTAGATCGTTGATCTGACCTACATTTTCCTAATAAAATATTCGAATAGGTTTTTAGAGCAGGTTCAATTCAAGTTACTTAAGTTTAAGACCTACCTAAAGTGGACAGATGGTGTATCTAAAGATGCACACAACTTGATAGCTTATATATTTTCATTATTTTTTTTTCTTTCTTTTGTTTTCTTTCTTTTTTTAGGTCACCTGAGTAAACTCAGGTGACCTATTGCTATCCGTTTTTGTCCGTCGTCGTTCGTCGTGCGACGTGCGTCGTTCGTCGTGCGTTAATATTTAAACATTTTCAGCTTCTTCTCTAAAACCACTGAACCAATTTCAACCAATTTTGGCATATAGCATCTGTGGGTAAAGGAGAACAAAAATTGTGAATTTCATTGTCCCTGCCCCCCTGGGGCCTAGGGGGTGGGGCCAAAACCACTAAAATTAGTGCAATCTTTAAAAATCTTCTTCTTTACTCCTGGACATCAAGCAGTCAAACTGTTGGTATGATTGTAATTAGCATTGAGTCCTCTACCAAAACTGTGAAATTCATGGCCCCAGGGTCAGGGGTTCTGGTGTTAGGGCGGGGCTCTATTGATTATGTAGTGAAAATGCATTATTTCTTTGAAAATCTTCTTCTCTGTTCCTAAGTATTAAATAAACTAATTAAGTACAATGTTATGATGAGCAAGAGTGCCTCTACCAAAATTGTGAATTTTATGGCCCCAGGGTCAGGGGTTCTGATGTTAGAGCGAGGCTCTGTTGATTATATAGTGAAAATGCATTTATTCTTTGAAAATCTTCTTCTCTGCTTCTTCTGTATTAAATAAACAAACTAAGTAAACAGTTATCATGAGCAAGAGAACCTCTTCCAAAATTTTTAATTTTATGGCCCCAGGGTCAGGGGTTAGGGTGGGGCTCTATTGATTATATAGTGAAAATACATTATTTCTTTGAAAATCTTATATGCTCTTACGTATTTAATAAATTAACTAAGTACATAGTTATGATGAGCAAGAATGCTTCTACCAAAATTGTGAATTTTATGGCCCAATGGTCAGGGGTACATGTGATGGTGTTACGGAGTGGCTCTATAATGATTATATAGTGAAAATACATTACGTATATACATTACGTATACTGAAAATGATTTGTTTGAAATCTGCTCCTTATATAAATCAAACATTATTGATAAGCAAGTGTGCCTTTTAAAAAAAATATGCAATGTGTATACCTAGGGCCAGGGGTTCATGTGTGGTAGGGGCACTTATGATTATTGCTGAATATTACTGATTAGTTGAAATGCATTGTTTGTTCCTCTACCCTTCCTATAGGTATTAAGTAAACAGACTAAACAATTGCTGAGTGTATAGTTATGATTAGCAATGGTGCCTCTTTTAGAATTGTGAATGCCATAGCATCTAGCTTGAAACATGAACCAAATTCAATCATTTGAAAGTTGTTGCATGACGCTCAGGTGACCTATAAGGCCCGTGGGCCTCTTGTGTTTGGATAACATCTTTTCTTGGTTTAAATGTTTAAAAAATGTAAGGAAATCCATCATTTATACTGTGAAGTTACTTATTTGCGTGGGTAACAGGTTTAATTTTTTTTTAACTTTTGATTTGAAGAAAACCCAGAAATCCTTTCCCTACAACACATGATGCAAATTCTTACCACTTTGCATTTCTTCAACATTGATAACAAATCTTTTAAACCAATATTGTGTCCCTCATATCAGAAAAATTGGCATCACGAAAGTATCTAAGTACTTGACATTCTAATTGATTTGTATTTTCAGTTTATTTTTGTTTCAAATTTATTGTAATTGATCATGTTTTAGATCATATCTGTTAATGAACGGAAATAAACCATTAATGATTTTTCTCTCTCAAAGACATTGTCTTTTTCATAATAATTATTAGATTACGCCGTGAGCAATTAAAAATAAAACATTTTCCACTCAAAGTTTAAGTCTTACGGAAGAGTTAATCAATTTATTCATGGAATTTGAATTGAATTTCAAATACTGGTAGAAAGATATTTTATCTAAGATTTTTTTGTTATTTCAAGCAAGTTTTAAAAATGATGGATTTTCTTTTCATCTCAAAATTATTGGTAATGTTTTGTTTAAAGAATGTGGTGGATGGATGTGGTGGGTAAGAATATATTTAGTTTTATTTGTAAGAAAGTAAAAAAAACAAACCAACTCCGCTTTGTTTAACAGTTAAAATTATATAATTTTGTAGACTGCAGCGGTGTTGTGCTGGTTTTCGTTGGAGTGAGAAAGAAATGCAATGCATCAGTAAGTACTTGGACTACTTTTAAGAAATTTTTATTTTTGCCAAGCTAATACACATGTAATTGTCTACAAAAGAAAGGTGCCCTTCGTGTAATTTCAGAACGTCCCTTAGGATACCAGGGGATAGACTGTTCTTCTTACTGTCGATATCCAAACTATGGAGATGGTTGTCAGCAATTATGCGTCTGTGATGAAATGTTTTGTAACGCAGAGACGGGTTGTAACTTTCCTACCTGTGAGTAGATTTCAGATAATGTTATGGGCTTTTTTGTTCTGGACGTACTACAAAACATAAAATTTTCTTTTATTTGCTTTACATTATTTGTTGAATGTAAATGTAGTATATTTCAGGGGGTGGGAGGGGGTCCTCTAACAATTTTGGCAATGTTTAACATGTGTTCAATGCTAAACTAAGAAGAAGCATTTCCAAGGCATCTCACCAGAAGGTGATTTCTCAGTTTAATAATAATTATAGCTACTGCTGTGGTGTAATATGAAGCATCTTCGCTAGCCAAGGGTTTCTGATACGCGATTCTCCTCATACGCTACTCTCCTCATAACCCTTGGCCTACGGTGTTCATAGAAATAGGGATTTTTTTCCAGAGTTCTGATTGGATTTCAGTACACCCAGGTAGACCAATCAGCAATTGTTTTTTGTAAATGACGATATTTGCGTTCGGGATACATCTTCACTCTTTAATCTCGGAAATGAAAAACGCAAGTAAACAACGATCTGTAAGATAAAATTCAATTCTATGAATAGCCATGGTGTCATCCAATATCTTCTAAATATGTGATTAAGAATCTATATTGAAGCTTCAGATTTGTTCTATAAATAATGAATAAACTTAACTCAATTATTGCTTCTTAATTATTCTTGAAAAAACTTTGAGTTTAATTTTTTTTTAACACGTGTCTTTATTTCTGGCGATGACGCAATCTGTGCGTACCTGATAGATTCGAGATCACGTGACGGAAAACAATCCCGTCTTTTGACTTCACTGTATGCCAAGGGTTTATGAGGAGAGGAGCGTATCAGAAAGCCTTGGCTAGCGAAGATGAATATGAAGATATAAACGTAATATTAACATGCACGGATGCCTTTTAAGAATATGATTTCTTTTGTGAAGCTCTTATATTTATTTATCACATGAATTGATTAATTCAAATAACATTGTAGCAAGACTCTTTATTAAATTTAATAAAATATAATTCGACAGTCACCTGATGCATGCATTAAATGTGAAGTGAATAGGGGTTATAAACCACATGGTTGCCACACACCTCAGGCTAGTTCAAATTTAATAATTAAGTATGTGATGAATTGTTTCCACAAATCGTGCAGTTTCGTACACGTGCTGCTAATTTCAATACAATTTCTTGAATGTGACAACGTTAAATCGGGTTACTTTTATTCTCTTTTTTACAGCCGATGTCTTCAACGGAACACAGAACAACCCAGGAAATGAAATGAAAAATGTTTTCTTTTCTGCTTGTCTTGCAGTTGCGTTATGTGCTCTCGTAATAGTTTTGCTACATGTTGGATTTAAGATTTCTAAAAGAGTAAAATTACGGGTTATTGAACGGGGGGCAACCAAAACTGAAAAAGAAACAGAAATTCATCACAATTTAGAAGAAGTAAATCAAATACATGTAGACTATCTATCATTGAGAGAATTGTCTGCTCGCATTGCTAATCACTCAATTGCAGACTCGTTCACAACTGATGGGTCGGATTTTAGCTACATTGATGTGAATAATAAAAAGGATAAAGTTTATCAGAATTATTTCTCTGGTTATCCATGTCAACGTGAAAACACAAATCACAACAGGAGCGTGTCAAGCAGGGGCGATGGTTTGCCCCTCTCTCCTGGGACCAGTTTGCAGAAGAGTAATTCACAGTTCTCAAAAACTGAAGCAAAAACTCTTAAGGTCCTATATGAAAACGAAATGGAGGATCCGTATTTTTTGCTTTTACCTTTAGATCGTTGATAATTGTATTAAATGTCATGTTTTCAATTTTGAATTTACCGGGTGGCAGTAAATACGAAATTTGCCACCCGGTAAATTCAAAATTTACAACATGGCTTAAAATTTGCTAAACATTTATGACATTTCTAAAATAAAAATATTGATAATAAATAACCAAGTATTATTTCTGTTAATTTTGGATAATGCTATTTTTGAGATCAAAATGAACTTTAATTATCAACAAAATATTCTTCAATTTTTAAAGAAACAATTTGAAAAAAAAGATTGTATGTTGCTGAAAAGGCAATAGGACCAGTTCCAATAACTTATTTTACATTATTAAGGAATATTAAACAAAAAAATAATTTAATCAGGAATTTAATTTTGGCCCCCTGAAACATACATTCATTTTTAATTCAGGAAATATTGCATTGTATTAAACAGGTTGATTATATAATTGAAACAGATATACTACAAACATGAAATGTTTATTTGTTAGAATATCACTTTTAAGTAGCACATGTCTTCTTCAATATAAAGGATGCAAAGTAAAAAAAAATGTGAATATACATGCATGTTACATGGGATATCTTTTAATTGTATATAAACATAACTTGTCTTATGTACTTCATTATTTTAAAAAATACTCTGCATGAACTGCTTCTTTTCAATTTTTTATATTGATTAATTACTTATATCGTTTCACTATATTTATTATGTATTTCAATGATTTCCACATAAGTCATTTTATATATTTAACATTTCATGCAGAAAATCAAATACATGTAGGAGACTTTTAAGTCCTCTACATATCTTTGACTCGTTTTTTGCTTTGATGGTCATTAATGAAACCTACCAAAATGAAGTATTTCTTTCCCTTGCATGAAAGAGGAACTTTCACTCGGTAGAATTTTCTTTTGTAAAAAAAAGAACGTATTTTTTTTTATACATTAAATGATGATCAAATGTAAGCAGTTATAATTTTTTTTATTTGAGATTTTTACATGCTTTATAAGAAAGAATTTAAAACAGTATTCTTTATAGATTGTGGGATTCAGTTGCATGAACACTAAATACTTATCATGCACAAATGTCAATATAATATGTTTCACTATGTCTAACAAGTTACAAGATACATGTAGTTTCAATATAGTTCATCTTTAGTAGAAAACATACATCAATTGAAAATCATTCTTTTTATGTAGATGCATGGAAATGTAGATAACAACATGTGTAATAAAGTAATAGTTGGTATACGTTCTGTTTTATTTTTTGACTTCTACAATATCACTTTGAAGAATATAGTTTTTGTAAATGTACTATTGTTTTTTTCGATCTTTGAAAAGACATGTTCTCAATTTTATCAAGGTACGAACTAGAAAGTTTTCTTGTTTAACAAAAAAAAATTATAAAGGAACATGAGAAAAGACAGTTGTCTGTGAAGGATATTACAAGTAACTCAAGGCCTGTTCATTGTTGACAATTCATCTACAGAAGGCAAAGGGTTTTCCGTATTTTCTGAAAAGATATAAAGAAATCTTCTGTCGTATTTAAAGTGTTTTAAACAAATTTACAATGAAACGCATTGAGGTGGTAAAATTTTCTGTTAAAATGGAACGTTTCGAGCTATCTTTTGACACGCCCGTTTCTTTAGAAAAGAAAAATCGGTTAAATGATTCAATTAAATACCTGTAGAACAGGTATTCCGTAAATATAATAACCAATGAAATTGACGGTCTACATAAACACCGAGTTAGCACGTGTTCGACCAATACATGTGTTATGCTTACTCGAATGAACATGATAAAATCATAATTATGTACAAAATTTTGCAATGCGTGTTTTACATAAGCGGGAACTCTCTATATAGCTCCTTCTTATTTAAAAATCTTCATTTCAGTGTAACTCATGCTTGTCTCGGAAAGAGGGGCGTCCTAAAACATTACATACGACGAATATTTCTTTCTCGTTTCTAAAGAAATGGGCATGTCGTTATGTTATAATTGACGTTCAAAACATGACTAAGAACGTTTCATCCAAATGGAAAATTTTACCACTTTAATGCGCTTCATTGTAGCTCACCTGCGAGAAGGAAAAGCTTTTTTCGATCGCTATGTGTCCGTCTATGTTTTTGCCGTCCATGATGTTTTATTATTTTATGATAAACCCTTTTTAAGGTCTTCCGTTTCCAACGGAAGACCTTCTACTGATTCTGTTGGTAAAGATTATTATTCTTTTTTTTTCTTCTACTTCCTAGACGCCAACTTTGAGGCCTCATATCTCACTCATTTCTCAACGGATTTCGCTCAAATTTTCAGAGGTTATAGACGTTTATAAACTCTATCTGAATAATGACTAAAATTTCGAAAAGTCCCTTCCGGTTTTGAGTTATTCCCCTTTAAACGAAAAATCATAGGCTTTCGTTTCGCAGAAATTTTACTTGTTTTAGATAGCAGAAGGATTGAAGTTGTGCACATCGGTTTTTGTTTTTCGATTTCTGCATTCAAAATGGCGCTTTATAGGGGTCAAAAATTAGAACGCATAAAAGAGCGAAAATTTACAGATATTTTCCTATTTATCTTGAAAACTAAAAATATTTTGTTAAGACATGTTGAATAAAAGTTGTGCATAATTACAAGCGCTTTCATTTGATATCATTAAAATGGGGCTGGCCCCTAAAATTAGGGATCTAGGGCCCTTGAAAGTTTTTGTTAATATCTCAAAAAGTATTGAGAATTAATAATACGTCAAATAAGCAAAGTTGTTCATTTATATTAACAATCGGTAAATTACAAACTTCTTCAAACTCTAGAAAAGTCACGTTTGTTCAACTGAAGGATCAGGGTATTTTTCCAGAAAACATTATTGAAAGATCGTGACAAGTTCTTTGGCTTTGGATTAAATATTTAATTTTTATGGATCACTTTGGGTATATGAATACAGTCTTATAAAATGTATTTATTCGAGTTTGTTCAAACTATGTTCCCTAAGGAATGACCGATTTGACGCTAATAATTGGATACTGAGGAATATGTAGGATTTATTCTTGAAAAACGAGGTCACCTTAATTCTAATGGGCATCCTCAAATATTGTAACCGCAAGTTTGTTTTATCATTGCCTCCAAGAAAAGTTGTAGCCTTAATTGGGTTCAATTTTATATAGGTAACAAGGGGGAAAACTTAAGAATATTTATCATAAGATCTAAGGGGTGTTAAGAAAGTTCGTTCCATGATGAACTACTTTCAAAAATTTCAAGGTAGTGCTTAAACAAAGAGATGAATTTTCAAGTCTGACAAAATCCGAAGAGTGTGCTTTAGATTTATAGCAATTCAATTCTCGCAGAAAATCATAGAATTCTTCTTCTAAATGAAAATATATATAACATCTTTAAAGCACCCTAATGATAAAAATGCTGGTCATTTTGAGTGAAAATAAAGGATAATTTACTTTTGTTTCTTCATAGCTTATCTTGCATCAGACAAGCTGATGAGCGTAGGTATAAGAACGATAGATCACTTTTTAAAAGAATAGGTTTGTCATTTTGAAATTTTTCACAGATTTGATAATTTTTGCATAGTGTTAGGAAAGAAGAAAAAGTATTCTGAAAGGATGTTTTGACCTGTGTGCATAATATATGTCACAAATATGCATCATCCCAATTTTTTCTGAAAAGTCATCATCTGTTTTAATACCTGCCCTCCCCTTATTAATTTAACAAAAGACATTCAAAACCTTATCAAGAAGCAAGAATGGACTATGTAAACATGAAATATCACAGATTGTAAATATCCTCTCCTTGCATTTCTTTTCGAAAATAAAAGAAAATTGTGGAACGAACTTTCTTAACACCCCCTAGAACAACGGGGCTACAAGTATGCCAAGAAGCATTCTAAGGAATAAGAACAATCCACTACCAGAGGAAGTGTAATCTTGTTCTTATTAAAATAGAAAATGCCAAAGATTATTGAGGCGAAACAAAATACAAATTTGATCATCAATATAAACGCATATACCGAAATTCAGCTCAATATCTGCAAGTATTTAACATAGAGGGGAAATAAAAGAGGCACAGAGTGACGGAGAGAGACAGACTGATGGGCAGACAGCTGGACAATCTGACAGGAGTGGAGAAAACATCTACTTCCCTAGATTCATTTTGTTTAGACTAAATTCCCCGAGGGTAAAAGTGGCCACAGTAGGGATAAACCCTTTTACACGTAGATTGGCATCTATTTGTTGGCATAGCTGGAAATAAGTAATTTAATCCTCAAATCGGCACAGCCAATAAAGTATTACTGTTTGCGGCTGAGTCTAAAGTTTTACGTTACGTCACGATCTAGTTGACAGCTGCGCTCAAGGTAAATTGTACACGCCTCCTAACCGCAAGCTTTAAGACTGGAATTTTCTTCTTATCCCTGATTGCTTGCTCGTGCCGGAGACTATTTCCGTGTCAATGTTGAAAATATAAGTCGACCAATCAAGGAGAATTGTTTACACTCGATGCACCTGACGGAAAGGATCGTGACGTAGCGCAAAACTTTACAATCAATTGCAAACAATAATATCTGGGGGGGGGGTTTTAAAAACGAGCAACCTCAGGTATGGTATATTGATGCCATTGTTTCCAGGTATAGATAAGAGTCTAAAGATAGAAGAATGGAAAACTTCTTCTATAATACTATTATATATGAGATCAATGATACAATTTTTCTTTAGCATAAAATGACCATACTAAATCATAATAAATTGTGACTATTTCCAATTTGAATGGATTTCTTTTTATTTCAAATTGATGACTTTGTAAAATCAGAATGGGCTAAAGTTAGAGTTCAATTTTTTATGAAATGAATGGGGAAAATTTTGAAGTTCAGCAATTTTATGTTTTCCATACAATTTTTTTTTAATATGAAGCATATAAATTTCAATGCGATTGGAATTCTTTTATGCCATGAGCCAGAACAGCTTGAAAAGCAATGAAGCTCCAATATGAGGATTAAAAATTCATGTATGTACGTGAATAAAGGGGAGAGGAAAATCTGAAATATAGCAATTCAGGGCTTACTCAGGCGAGCATTGAAGCAAACGGAATTCTTGTTTACTTCCGTTTTTTCTGAAGATTTATTTCAAACAAAAATTGTCATGTTAACAACAAATACAAAGTATATATTTTGGCAAATTGTTATTCGAATGCAGATAACGTTCTAGTATGTACCTTTTTTCCGAAATATCTTGAATGTATTTTTAAATCTCTCCCACACAATTGTTAAAATTATTCCAGAAATTAGGATTAAAGATGTTACCACTAACAGCCCGATTCTGAAAGTAGATATATGTATAAAATGAAGAGCATTGTCTCTCAATGATACAATTATGGGATTTTTAAGAAACAAGATATATAAAACGTCAATGTGTGTTACTATTATTTTAGAACTACCTGGTAAGACTTCCTTCCTCTGAAGAAAGCTCTGCTGAATTGGGATGAGACATGAAACATTGCTGATCTGTCAACCAAATACAATTCAGATAATTATTTCTTCTAAACATTAACGATGTAACATTTATTATTATCATATTTCTTTATTGCAAAGGAAAATGTGTGTCTGAAACACTTTTTTTTTTTAGCAAGAAAGAGTCATAATCCAGTTATCTTTATCCAAATAAATACAAATAATATGCCTACTTGTATATAATTCTATAATAGTTAATTTTGATTTTGCGGAAATTAAAGATGGATATCCCTGACTCGCCATTTAAAGAAATGATAACTATTACTACTTGTATTTATTTCCTGAACAAAAACTAAAAATTTATACAGAGATTCATAAAAACAAACTAATATTAACTCCAAAAAGATTTGTTTATATCAATACAGTGAATTTTTAGTTGACTTAATTTCGAATGATCTTCAGATACCTTTTTTTATATCTGACACTTCTTTAAGGATTATATCTTCACATAAATGTTTATATGAAACAAAATTGAATATCTTAAATTTCCTTAACGTTTACGCCATCATACTCTAACAAAAACACTACAGTAAATTCAGAATGGTTAATTATAGTTTTATATAGCGTGCTATAGTAAACAAAAATTGGCAAAATAATTACAGTCAGTATCAATGTAAACAGGAAAATGAAAGTACAAGTTGGCGTTAACACTCTTAGAAGTTTATATAGAACTATATACGAGTAGTAACTGTTGTAAATGTATTTAAATAGATTCTTCTTATTTTCCCCTACCGGTGAAACCGGAGGGGACTGAAGGTTTCCTCTGCGTCTGTCCGTCAGTCTGTTCGTTTGTTTGTCTGTCTCTCCCCGTCGTCTGTCTATCAGTCTATCCTATTTGGTTTTCCGCACTTTTTTAACGCTTGCAGATAATGAGCTGAATATGAGTGATCATGATTAGTTAATGATCAAGTTTGAATTTCGTTTGGCTTCACTGATTTTTAACAGAATTATGGCATTTTTTTTAATTTTTCATAATGGTTTAAGATCGGGTTCGTGCTTCGCCGAAGGTCAATATGGTAAATATAAACAGATGAATGTAGAAAAACACGTTGAAAAAATGAGCAAATCAAACATTAAATTGTACGTACATTTATATCCATCAGTAGAAATGTAACGAGATGGACAAGGTTCGACATACTCTGTACAGTCCTTGTTGTAATGATCTTGAATAACCTTACCCTCCGCATTGTATTCTGTGCAGTAGCCTTTAACACAAAAATATGAAAAATATGCATATTACAATCTTGTAAATATATTACTTTAATGATTATATCAATTGATAGGCCAGTGTATTAAGCTATTTTATAAGCAATAAATATGCATATTTTATTTGAAACTAATCTATAGATTGGCAAAACACCAGGATGATAAATGAATGTCAAACATACATGTACATCCTAGGATTAAAACCTTATAATACTAATTATAATAATAAGTAATACCTACGATTGTACTTAAAACCTAAGTAATACATTGAAAAACGTTAACCTGTTATGAATAACACTGGTGCACAAACTTCTAAAGAAGCGTTGCCATAGCTGTTGAGAACACAGTGGTAGTTAAATTGATCTGGTGAGGTGCAGTCTTGGCCTATATAATGGCAACCTTTAGCTTCTGACCTTTTCTTGTAGTCCTGAACAGTTGAAGGACATGACGTCACAAACTGCACTGTCGCAGACGAAACAGAGCACGAACGGGGGTTATCGGCGTCAACGACTACCTAGAATTAGTAGATCATTCTTCATATACACGTACCCATAGATGTTAAAGTATATGGTTTTTGTCGGTTTTACAACAAGAGTTGACGACTACGATCAGAATCTTTTATTGATTGTGAAATCTTGCGAAAATAACGATTCTGTTAAAAAAAGACTAGAATTTTTTTTTTTTTTAATTAATTAAAAAGGAATTAGAACTAAATCGTTTTAAAATAATTTGAAGTGCAAAATAAAACTTTTCGATCATCCACTACTCTTAATTATTTTACAATGATCCACTTGTAGCTGAATATTAAGTTAATAAGTTGATAATAGGCAAGAGCATATTCTACGTATGAACGATTTCCAAAATGACTTAAGCTAAATTGGGATCCATTTGGATCCCTATTTAGCTTGAGTCATTTTGGAAATACAATCCGGCGCGAGGGAATAAAATCAAAATTGACGTGATCGATACAATGGCCTTTAAGAAAGTACAATCTATGAGGGGTTTATTAAAGTTTGGAATTATGATATAGAATCAATATTTGTTGCTGTAGCTTATTAACATAACTTATTACATGTATTTTACACTACAGCATCATTGTTCTCTTCGAGCAATTAAAAAATGATGCACATGTATAGCCATTGACCTCCCTTAATGGCATAAAGGAATCTTAACGTACAGACATGTACGAGGGTTGATCCAAAAGTAATGTCACAACTTTGATAAAATTGCTATAAATCGACGTAAAGCAACAAAATTATACATGATGGAAGGTTTATTTATTTCAAATCAGACATAAAAAACTCAAAGTAATATTATGTTTGCTTTCCAAATATCGGATTTTAAACAATGTGCGTTTATGGTAGTCGCCGCACCTAATTATAACATCATACGACGGATACACATCATCATACTTTTAAGCATTTCCTCTTCGTTTCATTAAAAAATATTTGTGATTCGCAAACACTTTCACCAATTCCACTTTCTGTCAGAAATTTTGGTACCATTATACACTCACTCTTCTCATAATCAAGCCCCCTGTCAATTTTTTTACAGCAGCATAAGTCATGCAAACTTAACAATTCACATGTCACTCTATACATGTGTCTTTTTTAACAACGTCAGACACTATTGAACATTTCCGTTGTCAGATCTCCTAACCCTCGGTATTCTTGTCCTCTGCTGATCAATCAGTGACCAATCACCCGCCCAAAATTTCTGCACCATCTATTAAGATGCCTCTTATTTACAAATTTAATTTTCAAATACACATTAGAAAATAACGAGAAGTGTGTCTTTTTAAAAAATGGGAGGTTAGGTGCAATTGTAGAATCTTTTTAATGTGTTTGTTTATTTTCCAATCTAAGAAAAAAATACACTTTAAAACGCGACGTTCCGTTGTGACGCTGCGACACCCCCTATTCTCTATGTTTTAGATATCTATAAAATAAATCCTAATAAATATTGTTAAATTAAATTTTCAGTGTTAATTACATTTATATTTGTACATCTTTTGGTATATTGTATTTGATAATGTGACACCAAATGTAAAAGATATGGACACTGTGACATTACTTTTGGATCAACCCTCGTATATCTGAAATATTTGGTCAATTTTTATAATACCTCGTCAGCGACTGGTCTAAGGTGATTAAAACTAGGTTATGGTCCGAGACCTCAACGGGGCTTGGCTCCATTACCTTAAGGAGTGGAGCGCTACTCGTACGTTAACCCTTACGTAATATCTGTTCCTTCACCGCGTAGTGGACTTTTGCAAAGACACTGACTTTTACAGTTGACGGCTTACTTGAACATTTTAACCTGCGTTGTTACAACCACTATTGAAATAACGACCACTATTGAAATAATTATATCAATAGTGGTTAAGAGTGCATTTCAATAGCAAACATTGTTAGTAACCACTATTGAAATACGACCACTATTGAAATAATTATATCAATAGTGGTTGAGAGTGCATTTCAATAGCAAACATTGTTAGTAACCACTATTGAAATAATTATATCAATAGTGGTTGAGAGTGCATTTCAATAACAAACATAGTTAGTAACCACTATTGAAATACAACCACTATTGAAATAATTATATCAATAGTGTTAAGAAAGTATTTCAATAACAAACACAGTTGATAACCACTATTGAAATACGAGTACTTTTGATATAATTATTTCAATAGTGGATGAGATTCATTTCAAAAATTGACAATATTTCTTTTTTCATTTAACTTGCAAAATGCTCAAGTATTAAAAGTAAAGTTTCACCGCGTAATTTTTATTTTTTATCCAAAATTTCACAAAAATTGGGTTTGGGGTGATAAATATATATATATATATATATATATATATATATATATATATATATATATATATATATATATATATATATATATATATATATATATATATATATATATATATATATATAAAGAATGAGAGTGTGTGAATTAATAAGGATGGTTTTAGTGAGGCAAAATTTTGATCAACACAGAAGGTTTACAATTTCTTTACAATCTAGAAATTTATTATTTAAATCATTTTCAATAAAATCAGACCAAAAAATATATACGAATCCAGGCATCCATATTTTCTTTGTATCATCTTTCCTTAAATGAAGATTTTCATAGTTATTGAAATTATAATTTCAAAAATGATTTAACTAATTATTTTGATAGTTTCTGATAATACTTCATAAAGCCATAATTAAATCCACATTGAAATCTTTATTTCAAAAGTAAACATTTTTTTTCATAGTGGTTGCAACCTATGTTTGTTATTGAAATTAATCTCACCCACTCTTGAAATAAGTATTTCAATAGTGGTCGTATTTCAATAGAGGTTATTACCTATGTTTGTTATTGAAATACTTTCTTAACCACTATTGATATAATGATTTCAATAGTGGTTGTATTTCAATAGTGGTTACTGACAATGTTTGCTATTGAAATGCACTCTCAACCACTATTGATATAATTATTTCAATAGTGGTCGTATTTCAATAGTGGTTACTTACTATGTTTGTTATTGAAATGCACTCTCAACCACTATTGATATAATTATTTCAATAGTGGTCGTTATTTCAATAGTGGTTGCAACACTTCGTCATGTACGGAGGTACGGAATTGAAAATAAATAAGAAAACGTCCATTGAGGTGAAATTTATTTATTGGGGGCTTTGAAATAATTTATCAAACAAAAAAATATAATTGGTGGTAGAATAAAATTAATTTAAATACTTTATTCAGTAGAATTAATATATCCTTTAATTTTCAAAAACTTAAGCAATGAAATAAAGAAGAAGAAGACATATTTCGGTAGGAAAACTCGGCAGGAGTTGGTCAAGACTGGAATGGAGGGTATTAAGGATAGGAATGTTGCCGTTTCCTTCCTAGACAACGTAATATGATCTTTGAAATAGTCCGTTATTATCGTTTTGGTAAATGTTCAGATCAATATTTTTTCACAAATGAGCTACCATATATTTTCCTTGTGTAAACGTAAGCCGTCTACTGTAAAAGTCAGTATCTTCGCAAAAGTTCTGAAGGCACCTTGAAGTGAAAGTAGCAGAATAAAAACCTTGAAAAAAGGGGCCCCATAAGAGTTCATACTATATTTTTTTGATACTTAACATAAGGTATTAATAAATAAATGAATAATTACTTACCTTTTTTAAATATACAAAGAAAATCAGTGACATCACAAGATTCATTGCAATATCTTGTTATCTTTTAAATATACATTGTATAACAGGATATGCCGAGGCGAACAAAAGTCGAGTAACATTTCAAAAAGACCTTTAAATCATGAGTGATGGGTGTTTATTTATAGACTGTGTATTGGAATTTACCTTTTGCTATCTGCTATCTAAAATTAACTGTTTGGCATATAGACGAATTCCCCTTCTAACAAAAACATGGCATAAGAGTAGGTGTATAATTTTGATATCAGTAACATAATATACATTCTACAGGTATAATCTTCAAACGTACTTCGAACCTGTCCTTGGTCAACACATGTTCGGAATGTTTCCTTGGTAAGTGTGTGTGATATAAAAATCTTAGTGACAATTCTTTTTCATAATGGTCACAGACATGAATAAAATGAGGGATTCAATTTTAATTTCCATAATTCAAGCCCACTGGCGTTAAGTTAGAATGACTTAAGCGGGAAATTGGAAAGCATTTAACAATATACTAGGCGAAGGTTTAATTTATTTAGTTCTAAATATCGCGAAACAGCACATTTTTATGTATTTTTTAACGAAATATTTACATCTTATTGTACATTATAAAAAATGAAAGACATACTGAGGCATTAAAACAACACGAAATGTAATAAAAAATGCAAAATGTAATAAACTGGAATTATTATATTTTGCGTTACATGTATAACACTTTGCCTCGAGGAAAACTCTAAATGTAGTTACATGATTTTTGGACTGTTACATTTTGCGTCGAGATCAACGCAAAAAGAAAAAAAAACGTACATGTGCTGTTTCGTTGCTAAATTTTGCGTTGAAGATTACTCAAACTGTAATAAAACAATATATAATTCATTTTTGGACTGAGTTTACAATACACAAAACATCATAAAATTAATTTAAATATATAGCCATGGGAAAACCCATTTTACAAAATAGATAGAACTATTATGACAATGAGGCCAACGTTACGGCCTTTACGGACATGACTCATTTTAAATGTCTCCGAGTCAAGCACAATTTCCGATGACAAACATCAACAAACTGATGCAAATCCGTACGAAACCATTGAAAACGATGAGGAAGATTCATTGAATTCACAAGTAGACAGATATCTCCCACAGAATAGTCAGCCATCAACACTTCTCATGCCTAGATGTGAGCAGTCTAGTAGAGTAATCGATGGAACTATTGACTCTGATGGCTATCAGTGTCCTTGTCCTCCTGAAAGAGGGGTTGAAAGAAGATTACATGATGATAATAACGAATATTTAACTGTAGTGTAAATTATTTCTATGACAATATAATTACATGTACATACTCAACAAAAAAGAAACTCATATTCAGATTAAACAAGATTATCTAAGTTTTCAGTTAAAACTTTATTTTTTAATAGTAATTTTATGGTGTGTTGTGATAAAAAACAAAAATGTCCTACGTTCCAAATTGACAAGATAAGTTGATGTCTGACTCATTTACGTCGCATTCAAATTCTAGAGGCATACGTCTGAACCAATCCATATGTCTTTTGCGACGTCTCAGCGCAAGTGGGTTTCCATTGTACGGACGTTATGCACGAATACCAGCTCCTCTCGGTCTCTTGTGAACAACTGGTGCACTTTATGCTAATTTCAGAAGTTTGTACAGCAGTTCAGAGTCAATTGCGCGTGTGCTGAAGGAGGACCTGAGGGTCCTGTATGGGTGTGATAACCCACGGACGGCCAGTTTTGGACTGTCATCCGTGTTCCTAGATGATGGAGGCGTGCGTTTAACTGCTGCAAAGCCGATTGATGTACACCAAATGCAGTTACATGTACAACCTCCAGTTGCATAGTTCCGGTTAGTATCTTTGTTTGAGCCTTGCTGCGGTCGTCTTTGTTTGGGCGTGGCATGCATTGTAGTATCAACATTGCATTCAAAGCAAAAATATTGGTTTAATAGGAATGATTTTTTTTTCAAAATCCAAAATTTCATTTAAAACAGACCCCTAATTTACAAGAAATAATGCAAAACACCATTTTCATAAACAGGATTAATGAATTTAGAGAGAAAATTCAAAAATGGGGTTTAAAAACCCATGACGTACATTAAATAGGTCACAGGTATCGAATGATAAAAAAGATATTTGTTTCATATAATTTTACAAATTTTCTTTGATGAGTTAAACAATATGCATTTCTTATTTTGTTGAGTATACATCTATTGATTGACGTGTTTTATCTTTACAAAGGAAACAAACCTTCTATTCATTTGGATAAGTGTACGTGTATTTCCTCATTGTTTATTCCCTCTTCATTTCACATGAGTTCAGAAGAGGAAACGTCCATTTTCATCATTTTTAAAGAATATTTGAGCGAAAAAAAAACATGTACGCTCCATTTTTTATATATGGTATCAAATATAATTTATGATGTTTTTCATCCTTACCTATTAGCATTGGTAAAAAAGAATGTATACGTTTTATTGTTTTATAATTCCAATTTATTCCCTTTTTTAATGGGAAAACTACGATAATATTGAAAAAAATATTTTTAAAATAATAATGATAAATAAATAAAAATCATTCAATATTTATAAGGGATGGCAATCGATTGCAGAATTCATAATCGGTTAACCGAAAAAAGTTCCGACCGATTAACCGGTTAGTCGTATCAAGATATACATTTTGACATTTTCTTTTCATATACACAAGAAGGTTGAAAAAGACGTTAGAAGTTACATTCTGTTTATTATTTTGATCGGGGAATTTTATGTACAGTTGTACACAATAGTATATTTTTATTTTTATTTCAATAGACAAGAAAACTTAAGAAAACTATTAACTTGCTTCAGAAATCAGACAGGGATAATTTTTCAACGCAGATCTTAAAGAAGTTAATTATACATTGTTATCAAAACTATATCTGAACTCTCAATATACTGATATACAATTTACAACGTTCTTTCTAATAATATAATTTGATATATAACAGCAAAATATAAACACACCATAATTTAAAGTGCTTAAAGGTGATGTTTTTTATAGCATCAAAATATTACTGGACAATCTGGGTGACGAATTGATTTTTTAAAAACAGTAATGAACACTTTACGAACTGATCAATGATCCCTACAATATCAATCCAGAGAACTATTATTCCCTCCAAATATTCTTAATCGTACGATGTGTAAAAACACTAAATAAACATCTATGCAGTGGTTTTCTTTTTTTTTTTTTTTAAAAAGAAATTCCCATTTAATTTCATTCAATGGCATAGTAGGAATGATGGATAAGAAATGGGCACACTAAAGAGAAGCAGACGAACAAACAGAGAACGGACGTACAGACAGACGGACACCACGACCACTTTTCAAACGGGGATGCAAAAAATAAGTCTCCTTTCTCACGGTTAACAAAAAGTGTTCAGGAATATTAAGTCTTACGATTTATAATGTATTGGTTGAAAATAATTTTATCATATTTTTGGTTTTTTTTGTTGTTTTTTTTTTCCATTTTTTGCACTCTATTTACAGAAATGTGTATGTACGTGCGTTTTCTTATTTTATATAGAAAATGCAGAAAAATCTTTCGAAAGTGCATTCTCGCCCTTATCTGTTCCCAACCCATCTGAGGTAGCGGTGTCAAAGAGATCTAGAGAAAAGGAAGGAACGCCAAAATAATCACCCCCCCCCCCTCCACGTTATCTATAATCGAAGATTCGGGGTATTTCAAAGTTTTTACCCTGTCCTTCTGCTGTCTATTTATCTGTTTTTTTTTTCTGCCAAAAAAAAAATGACCTTGCCCATAATTTTGGAGTGTTGCTATGTTTTACATGTGTACTGCTTGTGACAAGATATTTCTTTGGGTATCAACAAATTTGACCTCTTGATCTTGACCTTGGAGTTTGATCTACTTTTACCAAAACATTATGATAATACTTTATCCTTTGTCATAACTTTTGAACAATTTGTGCTAGGACTTTCATATACTTCACATATGTATTTATTGTGACAAGTCCTTTCATGGGGTAATGATAATTATGCTTTTTGACTTTGACCTTAGAGTTTCACCCACTTAAAAAATTACTTTTATTTAGCCATAACAGTTAGAACTCTGGGTATCAAAATTTATATGTGTATTCTATGTTAAGGAACCATAAAAAAAGTATATCAAAGCCTTGATTAATTATTATTAGCTCTAAAGCATTTTAAGAATGTTTTTTACCGTTTTAGTATATATTTTTTCAAATAAGATGCTATTACTAGCAGGGGCGGCTTTACATGATACCCAGGGCCTTTGAGCAGTTCTTTTTTTTTTGTGCTAGCCTATTGTTAATCAAAACCTAATGGTTTATGTGGTTTTTTCTAAAGACTGGACTCCACATCCCACCAAAGAAAATTCAAATGTGACCAAGAATCACCTCCTCATCTCCAAGGGAAGGATTGTGCTATACCTGGGATTTAAAATGAAATATAATAAAAGGAAATGTGTGCTGAAGAAACTCAGGACTACAGTACATGTGGATGAGATGAGCATTGTTGGATTTGACTCTCATGTAATAAGCTTTAAGAAAAACAAAATTGTATAGTTGATGGATTGGTTGAATATTATTGTTTTACACCGAGTCACAATATTTTAGCCATATGATAAGGAAAACCGACTGCAGATAAACTTTATGTTTAGGACAAAAAAAGTTATGTTAATTTGTTGATATATATTTGAATTTTTTTTAGTAAACTTTATTATATTTATTTTTTCTAAATCCTTTTCGACTTCAATCCAAAAAATACTTTCAGTCAAGGGGAAAGTACATGTTTTTACTGATAAGAAAACATGTCAGATGCAAATATTTTCTACAAATTTATTAGCTGTAATTGCATTGACATCATTAACTTTTTAAAAAATATTTACAACAATAAATTCTTTATATATTATAAGCAGACACAATTATGTTGATACAATGAATAACAGAAAAAAATGTTAGTGGACTTTTTGTGATTTGCAACTGAGCGGGACATATTAATGATTCAGTTATTTATAGCAGTATTTTTGATTAAGGTAAAGTCCAGTATCATTTATACATCAAACAATCTTTCCTACGATCAAACGAGAAAACGAAATAAAAGTGCATATAAAATATAAAAGTATATAATATAAAAATACACACAGCGTATATTAACTAGGCAACCTTCTAATGATGATAGACTTAATGTTGAGAAGAGCATGAATATAAATATATCTTGTGAAAAGACTGTATGTTAAAGCTGATCTAGTAGTTGGACACTGGAGAAATTAATTCTCTTTCTAAAAGATCCATTCGTATTTTTTAAAATAGTTTTTGACAACAGTTTTTATTTCATAATAAAAATTTTAAGAACATTGTTTAAGCTTTAAGGCTGTTAAATTAAGTTTATGCTCTTTTGTCCTTGTTTAAATCAAGTTTTTTTTTTCGAGACTTTAGAACATTCAGTGTTAGGTTAATCAAAGCAAAGACATTTGTTTTTGTCATCAAACACTTGTGCATTCCGAATAACTAATTTCTTTTTTTTTAAAAATTATTATTTCAATTACGGAATATTTTGAAAATTATCAACTTGTACATTTAACGAGCCGCATGATGACGAGATGAATTGCATATAAATGATTTTAATGCTAAAATTCTAATGTCGCTTCTTCTTTCTTTTCTTTTTTCTCTTCCTCCCTTTAAAAATAAACAAAAGGCAGAAAAATAAAAATGTTTGAATGAAAAAATATGAAAGAACTAAACATTCTTCAATTCGTTTACAGTTTTATAGAAAATTAAAGAAATACTGTACCTTCAGTTGGGAGTCTGTCTGGCAAACTAAAAAAGAGAAAATTGTTCTTTGTCTATTTTTTTATCGTATTAGTTTAATCAGTTTAGTAAAATTCATGTAAACTCTGAACAGCATGTACATGTACTATAATTATGAAATATTGATCAGTTTTATATGGATTCATTAATCTAAATAAACAAGCTGTATTAACGACGTTCGATCCTGATATTTAAAGTCTTAAACTTTTTTTGCCAAGTATATTTTTAGTTTCTACATACATAGCTTAATAAAAATTCAAATTAAAAAAATGGGGGGTCAATACGCTTCTTTTGGCGCTACAATATATTTAATATGACCTTTTTGCACTGAAATTTGCGTCTTAATTAAAAATTTATTTTTTGACGTTTTCCCCGCAATATTTTTATCCAATTAAAGCATGAAACAAAATGAACTCTTAGTTTGTTTAAAAAAAGACACTTAAAAATTATGACTAAGAAAAAGTTTCAAATTGCTTCGCATAATCAATTATTTGACCTTTCTGCACTAATAAAAAGTGTTTTTTTCTGGCATTGACAATTTAATAAGCAAGAAATTTATTTCAAAGTCTTAAACTTTTTCTGATTTTAAGCAAATAGGTCAAATTTATCTTGAATATTTAGAAAAGAAAGTCAAAAGTGGGGATATATGATGTAAATTTTCAGATATTACTAAAATAGTGTCAATTTTACGTTAAAATTGGCTCAATTTTTTCCCAGATTTTCAGAATATATTTACTATATTTGTCACACTTTGTTGAAAGAATTCATAAGGAATAATCTAATAGATATTTCAGAACCAGCATAACACATTTCACTACAAAAATCAGCTTTGTGTGCAACCAGGATTGAAAAACAGGAATGAATAATTAACAGTACTGTTATAGTTCAAAATGGATAAACTGATCATTTTCGTCCAAAAAACCTTCCGCCGCAAAATATAGTCCCTAGCTTAATTCTACTTGAATGGAATTTAATCGCGCTTTTTTCATTGAATATAGTTAAATTTGCACTGTAGAATTCAGATTTATTGTTAGAACTTAAAAAGGATGCAGAATTTTATACTAGATAAAGGACCTGACCAAAATGCGCTCAAAATATCAGAATCTAACGTCCTTAAATATATTGTGTAGACAGTTTAGTTCTTCCTTGTAAAGCATTGTATATATTTTGCATTGAAACTCGTTTTTGAACGATGCGAACCTTTTTGTACATGGATCTACATTGTCTTCTTTACTTGCAGGTGTGCTTTCGTGTACAATATCTGTAAAGTATGATAAAACAACGATGTAGACAAATGTATTGTAGATCAAAAACAGATGCAAATCCCCCTTTTCCTGTAGAAATTATTTTTACCTGACTGTGCTGCTCGCGTACTCCCACTAAAATGGAAAGCAAAAATCTTTGATTTGGTACAGAAAACATAGAGTATTCAGGATAGGTTTGTAAAAGGTGAAAACAATACTGTGAAATTGTGAAATTTAATAACCTCGAATTGGCAAAGATACGCAAAAATATATATTTAGCTTATTTAGAAATGATATTATATTTCATGATTTAGAATTAATCAGAACTACACTTCATGTTCAGGATCAAAGGAACGCAACAATTGCAATTACCTGCCACATGGTTGTTCGGACCGTTTTGCTTTATATATTATTTCTAAAATGAAAAAAAAATGTCACATAACACACTTTATTACTGCAAAAACATTTAAATGTAAAGTTAATTCAAGTTTAAAAAGCCTGCATATTTATATTTAAGGCATGTTTTATTAAATCACTGAGAAATATCTGGAAAAATAGGTTAATTTTTTATCACAATAACCAGAATAGCCAAAAAGAAACTGAAATTAAAATCAACGCTAACAAAAATCCAAAAGGACATTATTTCTCGACAAGATTTGGAATTTTGAATGTTTATCGCGGAAAATTTAAAGTGGCAATATTACGCATCTCTTCAAAAACAGACTTGTTAGAATTTTCCTATAGGATTTGGAATTTTTTTCATACTCATAAATGTATACGAGGGCCGTTCAAAAATTACGCGGACTTGTTGCACAGAAAAAATATTTGACGACATAATCGGAAAAAATGTCTTACATAATATAAAAGAATCTTTACTTATATGGTCTTCAAAATTTCATATCAAAATGTTGTGAATTGGTATCAATTTTGACTGATTTTTCAGGACATATCATTAAATCACGGAGCAGCAAAATCTTCGACGTCAAAGGCATTATAAAAAAATATGTGATTGAGTTTTCATTTTCTCAACATTTTCCCAACAGTACCTGTACAGTTTGAGTTACCTTATCTACTCAACATCCAAACAACATTTCTTGTCAAGCTTAAAATCTATTTAACAAGTAAAGAATATTCTTTTTTTGTTTTAAAACCAAAAACTGCAGGTATTTATGAGATATAGTGTGATATTGTTGACTCTCAATCACGTTCTTTACAGTCCGGATAAATTTTTCGTCGATAATCTTCTTCCCATCCTCCCGTATAGCCTTTTTACAGAGGTCTAATGGTCTAAAATTTCAATTTGCTATTTGTTGACGAATGTCACGAATACCCTAATTTACTACATGTTTTATTATGCATATTTTGGATCTATGTTGGCGATATCTCATGCATTACACATAATTTAACAAAATGTGGTGCGCCGTCAATTCAGGAAACATCATTTTCACAGTCGTTTTCAAGGTAATCGCATCAGAGAAAAATCACTATATTTCTGTTAGTACTTCAAATATCACGCCAGAAATCTAAATACATAATAATAGAACAATTTAAAGATACATTTGAGAAAATTGTCGAAAAATATCGCGAATTATAGAAAATAGATGAGTTAAATTTTGGATTCCGCATGCTTTTGCTTCAAATTTTTTGTCGTGCTCCGTACCTCTCCATCAGCGATATCAACATACCGATAATTTTAGCAGAATTTTTTTAAAAATACAGATATTTGCCAAAAATTTATTGGAATCTTTAAGATACATATTTCTGTGAAATTTCATAACTATATGACGTCTATAAGAGTAAATAATAGCACAGTTCGCGTAATTTTTGAACGGCCCTCGTACACTTTCAGAAAATTACAAATTTTATAAGTAAATAATTCTGATTATTTCATTAAAATTAATCATTATTTATGGTACATAAATATATATACATCGCAACGTGTTCGAGGTTCCACATTCCATGCTATACACGCACATGACGCATGCGTACAGTTTTCATAAACAAAACAGCATGGTAAGAGAGGGAGCCCGGTAGGCCTGCTACATTGATTGATTGATTGATTGTATACTGTTTAACGTCCCTCTCAAAAATATTTCACTGATATGGAGACGTCACCATTGCCGGTGAAGAGCTACAAATTTAGGCCTATGCTCGGCACTTACGGCCTTTGAGCAGGAAGGGATCTTTATCGTGCCACACCTGCTGTGACACGGGGCCTCGGTTTATACGGTCTCATCCGAAGGACCGCCCCATTTAGTCTCCTTTTACGACAAGCAAGGGGGTACTGAGGACCTATTCTAACCCGGATCCCCACGGGGCTGCTACATTGACAAAGTCGACCAAAACGACAAAGTCGACCAAAACAAAAATCAAAACCAAAAATAGGGATTGAAATTAAAAAAAAAACTTTCCTGACAAAAATTTAGTTGGGAGATTAATATAATCATTGGATGAAGAAGAAACGGGACCTCTGCGACATTCACGTGGGGCTCGCGAAGGTTCTACCCTACAGGTTTGTTGATACATGCTATCATTTCTCGTATCTCCATAGCTTTCAAAGAAAAAAAAATCAGTGTAAACTCAACATAAATATGCACTTATGACATATAAAAATTATTGCCATTTGAAGTGCAAATTGTATTAGAACTGCAGAGAGATATTTTGTTTGACATTTTGCCGCTATGACGTATGATTTGGTGGGTTTTCCTTTCCTGCACCCCAATACACAATACGTCAACATTTGTACTTAATCATGTTAAATTCGTCTGAATGCAGACTGAAATGTTAATTTTTATTAATTTACCGGAGAGTTGAGATATTTTGATTCTGATAATTGCTTTTACATAATATTCCATTATAATTGTAAACCCTACATTGTATGCACGTGCCATTTAGAATTCACGTGGCACAAGTCAACAGAAGTAAGTTACGACCCTTGATTTTCCGGCAGATTCTAAGTATGTTAATTTTGTATGAGGGGAGAATATTTATTTTTCGCAAAATGCTTACTTCAACCTTTTACCTTATTTCTGAATGTTATATTGGGTAAATTTAAATGAAAAAACACACGATTTGCAGCCGTATTGCCGCTTTAAAACAATAATTGTCGAATTGTCGACATTTCACTTAAATTTGATTTTATTACACATTCGATATAATGCATTATAAACATGCGTATCTAGTGCCTACCAACAACAACAAACACAATTCCACAAAAAAATTACGGACCACTTCTGTAGTTAATTAAGTGTTTTGAGTAAGCTAACTTTGAAAATGTACATAAAACTATAACATGGCTTTAATTTTCAAATTTTCAGAAAAAGCAGCACTTAATTTCTTCACTTATATACATTAATATTTCATTTTCTTTACATGTGGAATTAGACAACAAGTATGTGTTTCTGTCTATGATATAGCAGAAACAAGTCAAGAGAGTAATTTTATAATTTTATTTATCATCTTACCACGAACTAGAAAAACTTCGTGCTCACTGTTGTTGCTTGATCTGTTAAAGAAATCATTTTCATTTTATCTATTTTTTATCTTTAAAATACAAGTTTCTCTCTACACATCTTATACTATTCAAAATAATATTTCCTTACAAAAGTATGATATTAACATCAATATACCCTAACATACTTTTGCGTTATAAAATTGCGTTCAAATATAAACAAACCAAACAGAAATCAACAAAATTGAACAAAAGAAAATATCATAGAGCAATAAAATTGTAAAATGGAAGTCAATTGACAAGGGACTTGAGCTCGATCAGTAATTCATCAACAGAAAGGCGCACACGTACATGTATATTGCTGAAGATAACGAACAGTTACAATTATATCGATCTCAAATCATCTTTAAACAATTAAAACTGTATGTGAAAAAGGCATAAACACGGACACCTGAGGATTTCCAGAGATGGAAGGAGTTCCCTAAGAGTAGTAAGCAACCTGCCGAGAGCCCTAATCTATCGATCAGGTACAATGAACAATAGTTTAAAATATATTTTATTCTGTGAATTGGATTGAATGAACAATTTAGTGTTAGTTAATGATACAATCAAACAAGCAAGTTACATTGCTTTTTGTTGTGCAACTCCAGGAAGCCAATTTTGAACAAATTTGACATTTTCCGAGAGTTTTTATAAGTTTACCTGAGTTTTCAATTCATGTGAGCTTTTCTGATCATCCGTCCGTCTGAAAACATTTTACATTACAACTTTTCACGAACCAATTTTAACTAAACTAAGCAGAACGTATTATCGGGTAAAGGGGATTTTGAATTGTTTGAATGAAGGATCAATCACCATTCAAATGGTAGATAATCAAAAAACAAAAATAGTGTCGGATTATTTAAAAATCTTCTCAAAAACAACTGGACAAGAAAAGCTAACATTTTTGTTAAAGCATCCTGGGGGAGTGTAGATTCAAGCAACAAAAGGGAATCCTAGTTTTACATTGAAATATATACTGTATATGTAGGAATAATTTATGGGAACAATTTAAGAATAATCACCCTCTCAAGAACCACTATGCCAAGCAAAATGAAAGCTTTGTTGAGGTATCCTGGATTAGAGTAAATTCTAAATTGTTCCAATCATGACGTATATGGGTAGGGTGGTGCCACAATAGGAAGTCACAGTTTTAAATCGAAATATATAAAACTACCTTTAAAAGTTTTCTTCTCAAGAATCAAATGACCATAAATGGTGAAATTTATGTGGAAGCATTCAATTCTGAGGTGGAGTTTTCTAGATTGTTCAAGCCATTACCCCTTGGATAGGGCGGGGCCACATGTGGTGTTACGAGTTTGGAAATCCGGTGAAGAACAGCATGGGCAAAGTGACTCAGGTGAGCGTTTTGGCCCATGTGCCTCACTTTTAATCAAAAAAATTAATTGTTTGCCACGCTAATATATGCAAGACGAAAACATCATCAAGAACGACATACTAAGGACAGAATTTGTTCAGTATAAGTCTTTATTTCAAATTTACCAATACAATTCAAAACATTGGTCATTGTCTCAAGCATTGGGGGAAAACGAAAATTGAAAATTATAAGATTTTAATCCAATAGAATTATTATTCTTTTTTTTAAATAAGTGAATCAAATTGACACACCAACAGCTCGGATTAGACCCACTGTCAAGATAGAGAACTCAAGTTTACTGTGAAATAGTACTTAATTTAGGCGTTACCTTGGCAATAATTCTTGTCCACTTTCTATTATTTCCATATCTGTCAACAAAAATATATTATGTTTCAAAATTTTACATAATTACTTCTTTATCCTATTGCACATTCATAAGCGTACTTTTTTTTTACATATGAATGAAAAAATACCTATATTTAAACAAATCGTTACCTGTAAAGGGTAGAGAGTCTTTCTTCTGCACTTCATCATGTTCATCTTTTCCTAGTACTTAAAATAATATGTTAATTTAAAGGAAGAAGAAGGATATGGAGATAACGAGCAGTATTCAATATCAAAGTCCATAAAACAATACAAAATAGGAGCAGAGCAAACACGGACCTCTGAAACATCAGAGGGGATCAGGTGCCATGGAGGAGTGAGCATCTCCTACTGACCGGTCACACCCGCTGTGTACTCCTTGTCATGATCGGGAACTAATTGAAAAATCCACCGCCAAATCAGTGTATAAATAATGGACTAACAAATGAACATGAATAAAACTGTTAACCAACAAGATTCTTGAGTTTTACTTTTGAAAGAGTATTTAAGCTTACAAGGATCCTTCATAAATATTACATGTAATTGTACGATGAAATTGAATGGTAATTTATTTCAATGAATGGTTATGACATGTTCAATTTATTAGTGTCAGTATTATATTTTTGGATCTGAAGATGCAAATGACGAGCCATTAGTTTCTATATCTAAATTTAAACCAACAAAATATATGCTGAAATATTTCCAACTCGAAGTTACACAATAAACAATCAATCTATCGTTAAAACGATAAGTATAATAAAAACAATAGAATATCTCGTGCTTAGTTTACCGCTAGAAATACCTATATTATTTTATTTTATGAAAAGAGATGCTTTTCATGCTGAGGGTGCTTTCAATGGCCAAAGTTAAAATTAAATCGAACGGGGTATATCAGTGGTCTTAATCAGTCGTGTGTTCTCAAAGATTTTCAATTCTTAATTATTTATTCAATTTTATTCACTTTAAAAAACTTTTGAAAAAATACAATCACTTATTTTTGCAAAATAAAAACAATATGTTTACTTTTGATAATTGCTTTTATGGTTGTTGAACAATTGATGTAGTGAATTCTAAAAGCAGCCTAAATTTTTCCGCATAATTCCTGTTTAATCCGATATGTGTGAGTGGATGTAAGGGTGTGTGTGAGGGGGGTTGGGGGGGTTGAATCCTTTATATACCAATTTGTAGAAATTCATATGAAATTTTTGTTTACATGCAATATATAATGTAAATAAAATTTAAAAAAAAACAGTAGCTTAAACACCCACAATTGATCTTCAATTAATGCAAAAATATTTCGTGATGAATTAAAAGCTAGGCTTTTTAAAAGAATATAAAACTAGAAAACTGACCAGTCAGCAAGGGCCCCGCTGAGGGGTAGAAATATAAGGGTGCAGCTCATTGAATGAGAGTTTTAATTGATTACATTTTTTTTTATACATGAAGATTATAAGTACAACTGTATCTTTAAAATTTCAAGATAAATCCTGAATGTCCAAAAACCTGTAAATAGTAACCTTGTATTAACATAAAACAGGGAAAACCTCCTGTCTTATTTTTAAAAAAACTAAATTTAATGTGTATTTAAAAAAGATTTAAGCAGGTGTTTTATAAAATGCAAGCCTTCAGTAAATGCAAATATCACCCAGAGTTAACCTCAACTTCAAAACAAACATCAGTTGCAGACAAAGGTGTTCGTTAATCTTCATGTGACAGATAAAGATAAGCCTCTAAATTTTCTTCAGCAAGCAAGATAATTAATCCCAGGGGATTAATTGTACTGCTCTCCCATCCTTTTCTTCTACATAAATTTACAATAAGAACTTTTTTCAGCACTGACAGAATGGGGTTATTATCTGATTACCTGTTAAAATTAACAGCATTAAGGCAGCAAAAAAAATTAAATTCAATAAATAATTAAAAAATAAAATAGTACTAATAAAAAAGGATATCTTAATATATATCTTGATTTTAGAATTCAATAAAATTATGTTAAATCATTGTGTGCAGTATTTTAACCAATATAAAGTATGAACATTATTTTAAATCCATATTTCAAAGAATGTACACATCATTCAAAATTGACCTTAACTTCAAAACAAAGTTCATTGCAGACAGAGGCTGGTACAGTAATTAATCTCAATGTGTCAGATAAAGATAATGCTTAGGATTTTCTTCATGTGGAAGGTTAATTAATCCCAAGGGACAAATTGCACACCCTTCCCAGTTTACAATGTTAACATTCTCAGCAGTTATCTCTCTTTGCCCATTCATTCTTATGCATAGTTGAGGAATCTACCCCACCACCCCAGCTCCAAACCAGAAGACATAGAGAACCAAACTTAGCATCAAAATATGTATTGCTGCCTACTGAACTACCATACCAAATTTGAACCTGATTGGGCAACCGTAAAAAAAGTTATTAGAAAAAAACAGAAAATTTGTGGACGGAAAAGTGACAGACGGACAGACAGACAGACAGACAGACGGACAGAGTGATTACTATAGGACACCCGCAAATCCTTGCGGGGCCCTAATTACCGAATAGCATTAAAGCTCAAAAATCGGTTCAAACAGTACAAATCAGTAGCAGAAGAAACACATATCTCTAAATCATCAGAGGTAGAATCGGTGCCATTGGTGAATTAGTATCCCCTTCCGACCGCACACACGTGTGTTATTTGTCGTGATCATAAAATAAAGGGGGAAATTGTTCGAAATTTTCGAAGCCAGGTGAATTTTATGAGGAAAAGCAAAATGACAAAAAAATCAGCAATATCACATAGGCTGATTTTTACCATATTGCTTTTCCTAATAAAATTATTCTTGCTATTCTTATATTTTTCTAAAGTTTAAATTACATTTTCAGCATCAAGGTAACATACTCTGAAATTTGATTTCATCTGTAAACCTTTACAAAGTGTGTTATGTTCATATTTGTAATTATATTGACATTATATTGAAATATTACTAATATTTTCCAAGTCTGTTTCATTTTTCAGTTCATAGGAGAAAAAATTCTAAGAATAATCCAATTTTCTAAACTTGTGACATGATACGAATTAATTAAGACTCCTCCAAAAAAATGTATGTATCACCTGTCCTTAAAAACAAGAGCTATTTACAACAAAATTCATAATTCACAAACCTTTTCGGACTGTTTTCATGCAAAAAGCATATACAATAAGAGCACTTATGGCAATTATAGCAACAAGAATGGCAACAATCATTCCTGCAATATAGCCGTCCATGGAACTGAAAGTAATAAATTCAAATCATGTTGTTCAGTGCACATATTTCGTTAGATATGTAAAATTATAAAAAAAAAAAAATAATAATAAATAAGAGGCCCATGGGCGACATCGCTCACCTGAGCACTAAGGGTAGGAAAAAGTAGAAAATGGCTTTTTATTGTAAAGTTTAAATCCAAAAGTAGTTCCATGACCAATCATGGATTTGCTATTTTTTAGAAAATGATTTTTAAAGAATTTTCCTATATATATCTTTAAAAACTTTGGTCAGCCATTTTGGCCCCACCCTACCCCTGGGGGTCATGATTTGAACAAATTTGAATCTACACTACTTGAGCATGCTTCCATAAAAATATGATGTATTATAGCTTTGTCATTCTTGAGAAGATGATGTTTAAAGAATTTTCCTATATATTTCTATGTAAAACTTTGGTCGGCCATTTTGGCCCCGCCCTACCCCAGGGGGTTGTGATTTGAAAATACTTGAAATTACACTACCTGAGCATGCTTCCATATAAATATGATGAATTATTGTTTTGTCATTCTTGAGGAGAAGATTTTAAAGAATTTTCCTATATATTTCTATGTAAAACTTTGGTCGGCCACTTTGCCCCCCCCCCCTTCCCCGGGGGTCATGATTTGAACAAACTTGAATCTACACTACCTGAGCATGCTTCCATATAAATATGAAGAATTATGGCTTTGTCATTCTTGAGAAGAAGATTTTTAAAGAATTTTCCTATATATTTCTATGTAAAACTTTGGTCGGTCATTTTGGCCCCGCCCTACCCCCGGGGGTCATGATTTGAATAAACTTGAATCTACACTACCTGAGCATGCTTCCAAATAAATATGAAGAATTATGGCTTTGTCATTCTTGAGAAGAAGATTTTTAAAGAATTTTCCTATATATTTCTATGTAAAACTTTGGTCGGTCATTTTGGCCCCGCCCTACCCCCGGGGGTCATGATTTGAACAAACCTGAATCTACACTACCTGAGGATGTTTCCCCATAAGTTTCATCTTTCCTGGCCCAGTGGTTCTTGAGAAGAAGATTTTTAAAATATGCCACAAAATTTTCATAAATTCCCAATTATCTCCCCTTGAATGAGGGCATGGCCCTTCATTTGAACAAACTTGAATCCTCTTCACCCAAGGATACTTTGTGGCAAGTTTGGTTGAAATTGGCCCAGCGGTTCTTGAGAAGAAGTCGAAAATGTGAAAAGTTTACAGACAGACGGACAGACAGACGGACGCCGGACAAAACGTGATCAGAAAAGCTCTCTTGAGCTTTCAGCTCAGGTGAGCTAAAAAATTCGAGGGAAGAAATTGTCTATTCTCTTTACTGACCACTCATAGCTGTTTTTTGATTTCTCTTCTTGACTTTTTTGAGTATTTTTTATTCTGTAGCACTCTTGATCTACAAAAGTATATTATATAAATTATTTTTAACAATAGTTACTTTATTCCTACTTTAATTTTACATACAAACATAACTCCTTCATATTTGTGCATTGTATGCTGACCAAACTTTTCCTTTAAAAAAATGTCAAAACTGTTATTTCTGAACTCCCAAATTAATTTTAATATGATTCCTAACTCTTTTTTTTAAAAAAAGGCCAACATTTTTTTGCAAATATTACTCTAGGGCTGAAAATTAATACTGGTACTTACATTTATATGATTCTGATGCCTTATACCTTGACGGGCAAGGATTTTTAAATTTTGTACAGTCTTCATTGACATTGTTGAAAATCCTATTGATGCTTGTATCATAATAACCACAATACCCTTGAAAAAAAAATTGGTGAATAAATCTTAAGTTTCATATTTTCAGCAAAATCTATTTGCATTTGGCAATTTAATTGAAAAAAAGGACAGTTGAAATATTTTTATTCCATTAAATACAATCTTCATAAATTTCTGCTACATGCAAAGACTTGATACATGTACTAGAATAAAAATCATTCATTTTGTTTTCAATCGTAAGCCCCATTATATGAAAGGGAAACTTTTTTTCATATCGCACAGCAAATGCTCTAGCTTTCATTTGTACCTAGTTGAACTTACTGCAAACTAATATTCTGGCAATTTATTGTCTAACTCTTTGTACTAAATGTATGCTAAATCAAGATGGATTTGAACAAATATTCATATATACCTGTTAGAATCCATCTTGGTGCACATACTTCTACTGTTTCATTACTCCAATGGTTCACCAAGCAGTGATATTCAAGCTCAGACGGGTTAACACACTTCTGGATGATGGCTATCGCGTCACATCTTTTTCTTTGAACGGCAACGTTCCATTCATCCTCAGTGGCTGGACAGTTCACAACTTCTCTCACAGTTGGGAGTGATTCAACACATTGTTTTGTTTCCAAACAAAACTAAAATGAACATAGTTAGGTTTTAAGATTTTTTTCATCGAAAAAACAATTTAATTGGATAGTTTCCTTATTTGTTTGAACATTTTCAAAAGATGTTTTTAAATTAACTATAATTATTATATTTTTCATTTTCTCCTGTTTTCTTTTGAATTTGTTTAAATCAAAATATATAATTTCAAAGCACGTATTCCAATCAACATATTTTTGTGACACGGTCACAATTCATTATCGACTAGAGGGCTGATCTATTGTACTTGTGCTATAAATTTGCACGTGGAGATTTTTCAAACAAAAACGTTATACAGAATGTAAATAAAGAATTAATTCGCTTATACATATATTGGAATAAATATTTGTTTTTAGGTTTCATTCTTTTGAAAATTCTTAAAAATGTAAATTAAAGAATACTTTTTGCGCTTAACGTGATCCTTTGCATAAATTTAGCTTGTAAAATACCTGTTGTGTAAATAATATTTTTGTAGAAAACACAAATTCAATATTAGTTGTCATTCACGGGTTTCCGTAATTGAATCTGCAAAAGAACGTAAAAGTAGGTCATCTGTATTTGACCACAAAACCAATCGTATAAATGTTTAATGGTACATTAATTAAATCTCATATTTATGTTATCAAAGGAGAAGGAATATAATAATTATATACTTTATAAAAATATTACTGCTTGTAATTTAAAATTATGATTTCAAATCATAAGAAGGAAGTAAATATTCATACATACGCTAAACGCTAAAAATACAAATATATGTGTTTATATCTTCCTCTCAGTCAAGGCTCCGAAACGTATGTACCGACAGTCCTCGATTTATGCATGCGTGTGTTTGTGAGTGAAACACTTTTTTCAAGTTTGTGCTTGTGGAGTGCACTTAATATTATTAATATTTATGACAAAAACAAGAGAAAGGTAAACCTGGATTTTTTAAGATAAGCAATTTTTTTCCGGAAAGTCGTCAATTCTTCAACATGCTGCAACTAGTGCAAGTTGAAGAAACAGTAAATACGCTTCATGCATCGCAATTGAGGTTTCTGATCTTGGTATGGATGTAAAGGGGACTGACTCCGATTTCTATTGCGCAATATTTCGCATATTATATAGTAAAATGAAGCGTATTTACTGTTTTAAAAAATTCAAAAACCTACGAGTAATTAATAAAGATTAATAAATTATGAGATAACAAGTTAATTAAACAAAACAAGTTAACAAAAATTTCATTACAATTTCATATAACTGATTCTTAAATATTTATTCAACTGTACGATATATTTCTCTCCAAAATTGACACGTGCACTAAGGTCAATGTAAGGTAATTTATAGCGACGCAAGCTCTAAAGACAACGCCTAGATATAAGACTTAGATTTTTTCCCGCAGTAATTTGGACCCACAATGCATCGCTTAGTACACAGCTAAAGCAACGTTCTCGCGAGATTAACAACAAAAGTTAAACGAAAAATAAACTTGCGTTGATTTAATGAATTTGATTTGAACATATTTTATTATGCAAAGACATAAATAGATTGGGCAGCGGGCATAGCCTATATAAGCCCTCTCCAGCTGCAGGTTTATATATGACCAATAAGTTATATATATATATATATATATATTTACATCCACTGAATATTTTCTCCTTTATTTCTTAAGAAAACCCATTGCTTTAATCACTGCATGAACTACATTAGGCATGTCGCCTGTACAGATTTCTTGATCAGTGGCTGTTCCATCAATGAAACGTATAAAGACGTTCGCATCATTAATATAATAATTAATCTTTTTAATCCTACTTTAAATGATCATTTAAACAGATATAAATATAAACAATATAATGTCTTTCTTTGTTTGTTATCACTGGAATTAACGGTCGCAGCTATTGCAGAAAAAATTAACATAACCCTCTTACGCGGGTTTTTTTTTTTTTTTTCTGCAACAGCTGCTTCCGTTAATTCCAGTAATAACAAACAAAGAAAGCATTTTATTGTTAAATAGCTAACATAAATTTGAATGGATTATAGGGAAAAGAAAAATACATGAGTGAAGAGTGAAAAAGAAAGGGAAAAAACAACAACAAATGAATACCGGTTTATAAATGTGGAAGTGATTTAATGAATTTATTAGCCCCTTCACGGTAACTGCGGTACTACCCTTTTGCAGTTCAAAATAATAACGTTTGGCGAAGTTTTTGTTGAGAGATAATCAAATTACGTATATTTAACAATTACATTTACGTCATATTTCACCAACCTATATCATTCTGCCCTGCAAAAGAGCAGTACTGCAGTTACCGTGAAACGGTCTATTGCAGAGAAATAGACAATAAAACGGTTGTTACAACGTACTTTGAAAAATTACGCTCTTTGAAAAAATTTTTCAAAGTGCGTTAAAATTTGAGACCAAGCTAACGCACTTTGAAAAAAATAATTTTTTTTCAAAGTGCGTTAATATCGACCATATTAACGCACTTTGAAAAAAAATGGAAAGATTGATCAATATTTCTTCAAAAAATCGGTATGATAAAAAACAGATTCTGGTTTGATAATTTTTTCATGATAAAGTCACAGTAGGACCTGAGATATTGACGTTTTAAATATTTAAGGTTTTGATTAAATAAAAGGGAAAATTAAAGGGTCTTGAAAAAAAGAGTGACGATTGATTAAGTTCATTAATTCGTTTCTTCTTTTTTTAAATTCTAGTCTTTGATAAGTAGATGTAAAGGTGTAAAGGGGGCACTAACAGAGGACAGCTTCAAGCAACTTAGCATTTATCATAATAAAAAGGGGTCAATTTGATTGTTCAAAACTATGAAAATTCTTTCTCTCTCATACGATTTACTGTACTTAAAAATTTCTTGTCTTCATCTGTTTTAATTAACTCGATAATTTATTATTGAAAGTTTTCAACGTCATACCAGTTAGGTAAATACATAATTATATGAATGCTATGGGTATAGCATAGACACCGAGACTGGGCGAAGGGCCAGTTGAAGGGATGGGGGGGCTAAGCCCCCCACTTATTTTGGAAAGATATATGCATCGTATAAGCATTGAAAATGCAGCGTACCCTTTTTAGGTTTATTGCACCCCTTCCCCGTTTGTTACCGACACCTATGTATTGGAAAGATAAAGATTTGGACTGAGGGATCTTATACCCGTCTTCTTCTCCTCTTTTCGACAGGAGTAAATCAATTCATTTTTGAGGTTAGGGTTAGGCTTACTTTTTTGAAAGATAAATAAGTAAAATAACAAATAAAATCTTTCCATGACTAAAATATGGGGGTTTTTTTTCAAAGTGCGTTAAGTGTCTCCATGGTAAAATATATTGATGTAGAATCTTAACGCACTTTGAAAATTTTTTTCAAAGTGCGTTGAGTTGGTCCCAAATTTAACGCACTCTGAAAAAATTTTTCAAAGTGCGTTGATATTGTCCCAATTTTAACGCACTTTGAAAAATTTTTTCAAAGTGCGTAATTTTTTCAAAGTGCGTTGCCATAAACGGTTCTTCTGTTCAGGCTTCGGTTTGGTAAGGCAACAGGTATACGACGTCATGTGATGTCAGAGTCCTAGACGCACCATATGTCACGTGCGGTTTGATGAGCCCGATCTAAATGAAAACAGAATGAGTGTCTGCGCTTGCACTAACGGTTGCACCGTCAATATATTATATGGTATAAAAATAAAAGGTTTCTCTATATAATTGTAGTTTTCACTGCAGTCTTCTCACTTAAAGCGGCATTGTGACGCACAAAGGGGAAAGTTGACAAATGTAGGATTTTTGCATGACCTTTGTAAAGTCTTTTGTTCAATTCCTAAAAGTATTAGGTTACAGAAAATTACAGAAATCAGAACCTAAAAATTCTATTTTTAAGGAGAAAAATAAAAGTAAAAATAATTTTTGTATGCCCCAGACCGAAAATATTGCTCAATACTTCTTCCATCCCATCGTACGCGTGCGCAGAAAAGTTGAATAAGTTTCCATAGTTACCATGGTCTCGAGTACCCAGGAATGAATGTAAGTGGACCAAAAATTTAGAAGCATTTCTTAAAAAACGTTGTTAGAACATATTTCTCACCTTTGGGTATTCCAGTTAAATGTTGTTTACAAGTTTGATCAAAAACTAGAGGTACGGTGAGCAGTGAGCTCACTTAATAATACCCTCCGCCTCCCATAATGTCCATGTGTTGCTATATATTGTTTTACGGTAATGTGTAAAGAGGAATAACTCGTCCCATCAAATGTTATCTAAAAGCTTCTATTTGTAAATTCATAGGTAAACATATAATGGCAATGTCCATGTTTTGCTATGGAAAACCTAAAATACGTGTCGAAAAAAAATGTAAAATAGGAGGTGCACAATGGCAATATGTAATAAAGATTCTGTGAAAGTTTCATTAAATTTCACCCAGTAGTATAAGAGGAGTTGCGGATAAGAGAAAAAGCGTAACAGACGGACGGACGGACGGATGGACGGACGGAATTAACGATTACTATATACCCTCCCGCTTTTCAAGCGGGGGGTATAATAAAATTGGCGTGACCTTGACAAACACGAAAACAACGAAACGGTACATACAACCTTTGTTTTTCCGGCACTTATATCGTGAATTTTTTTTCTTGCAGTTCAATTGTAATATCTTAGCTATATACTCATAATTTTCATATGTCTTTCTCTGTATGCTACAGGTATCTTAAAAGAAAGACATGATTTTGACTCATTGTGTCCTTTTAATTACATGTAAGTGCTGCACTGGATCTTAATATTAATTTCAATATTACAAAAGCATGGTTTGCCTGGCTGATCGTGGTGTAGGTTTCCTTGTCGCAGTCGCCCGTTGTGGTGACTTTTATGCTTAGGTATATGGTATCTACTAAGCATCCTCTAGTGGCTCGCTGTTCATCATTATTTGCATGATTACTATTGCCTTTTTACTGTAAGGGACCTTCAATCTGATTCTGTTAGGTGTTGGGCTTAGGATATAGGGATGGCGTAATCGGTTAATCGATTACTCGGTCAGAATAATGACAGTTGGTTAGAGAATCTTTAATCGGTTAATCGGTCAAAATGAAATATCATACATGAATTTGAACAAACCTAATTTTCTTAAAATTTATTTTTGAGAAGGGATTCTTTTGCACAAACGTTTTCAGATATCTAAGCTGACTTGGATGTACATGCTTGTCACGCATTCTCAATTTATAGTCTCAATTCGCTTTAAATAATGTACCGCGTTTTAAGTAATATAATATTTCAAATAAATTTTATTTTCTGCCACTCATATGAACCATTGTTGGTTGTTGATTGAAATGCAACAATTGTTTGTTGTCTTAGGAGAAAATCACATTTTATAGCAGAAATCGATATTTACGTTACTGTCGCCGATCATCGTGTAGTTTTTATTTTAAACCAAAAAGAAGTTTTAAATGATTTACATATCTTTTTCCTAGTAAGATTGTCCTACATTTGAGTTATATTTTCTGAATATCACACCCATCACACATATGCGTGTCACAATTTTTAAAAAGTTTTAATATATTTATCAAATTTTGATGTCACCGCAGAATTATTACTTTTCTATTTGGAAATTCAAAAGGACTGGAAGGATTGATAAACTAACTCAATAGGACTAAGTTGTAACTTTTTAACATCATGAACACCTCTTCTATTGCATGGAATGGTAAAAAGGACACTCTTTATCTGTATTTATGAACAATAGCCCCCCTTTTCTTATTGTCCCCCGCTTTCGCGAAAGCGAGGGGACATTAAATCTCATTCGTCTGTCTGTCTGTCCGTCAGTCTGTCCGTCAGTCTGTCCGTCACAAAAACTTTAACCTTGCCCATAACTTTTGATTAAGTGGAGCTATGAC